CAGTGCTCGCCCCTTAACTCGCGCCAAGCCACTGCTCTGCTCTGGTTGGCTGTCGGCTCTTGCCCCAGCTGCATGGTGGCTGTTTTGGTTGCGTGCGCCACGCCCGAAGTGACGTGTAACATTGTGGGTACTGCGCAACGCATCCTGTTGCATGTGCTGAGCTGCAAGTTCCTTTGCTGGCTTTTCCGCTGTCAGCACATGCTCCCAGCACCGCCCAACGTGGGGTGCCAGTGCAGAATGACGGGGAAGGCCAGCGGCAGCAGAGGAAAGTTGAACTTGTAGTGTTGATTGACTAGATGAATTCTTGCCATACTGTGTTGTACTCAGAGCAAGACACGGGTGGGATTAAGAGTTCAGACTTAGAAAACCCAGCAATACATTTATGTTAGATGAAGCAAATATCTCAAAATGTAGAGTTTGTATTTCTGAAGCTGCAATCTTGCGCAGTCTACTAAAGAGTATGTTCCATTGAACTCAGCAGGATTTACTTCCAAGTAGAGATGCAAAGACCAGGCTCTAAGAGGTAGACATGATTGATTAGCAATACATGAAAAGGAATTTCCCCCTGCCCCCAAGAACAATGAAAGATCAGAACCATGGGAAAAACTATAAGCCATGAAAGAGCGGGGGCATGTAAGGCTGTTTGATGTTCATGATTACAAATAATAAGTTGATCATTTAATGAATGATGGAAGTACTCTATAATTAGCTAAATGATTACATCTTCATCATTAATCAGGCTGCAAACCTTTCTCCCTACACATCATTAAATCCCATTAAAATTAACAGAACTTAACTGTCAGGCCTGGCACCAGCACCTGGCACAGTGGGGCAAATGTGGATTCTGTGGGCTCTGGGGCCCCACTGTGGCTGGTGCCCTTATCTCTCAAAATAAAGAAAAGCATGATGATAATATCTGAGCAAAGTGGCCTAGCCACCACCATCTCTGGGCTCCCCAGCGTGATTCTGGTACACTAAGCCCACAACTTGGGCACATTCAACTTGTGTGCGTTCAGCCTTACACACATGGCAAAAAAATTAAAAGGGGTTGGGAAGGGGTTGGGGTTTGGGGGGAAATGACTTTGGCAACCCCACCCACCATTGAACCCAATGGGTTTTGACTATATGCAATTTTGGCTTTAGGTGTGATTCCCCAGGATGTAACCCCTGGATTAGTTGTGGGCCGACTGTATAATAACATTGACTGCAGCTAGTTTGCTTGGACATTCTCTGCTATGCTGGGCACTTGGCTGAGCACTGGTGGGGGCAAGCAGCAGTTAAGGTGGTTGGGAGTCCTAGGACCATAGCTGTCAACGTTTCCCCCTTTTAAAGGGAAATTCCCTTATTCTGAATAGAATTCCTTGCAAGAAAAGGGAAAATAAAACCCCTGTAATAAAACCCCTCTTGCCCCAAAGAACACTTGAAATAAGATACCACAAAGCAAGACTAACAACTAATAAACTGATTATGGCACAGGTTGTCCTAGCATGCAAAGAAGAAGAAGAAGAAGAAGAAGAAGCAGTTTCACAATTTTCAGCAAAACACAAACCAAAAACATATTGCCGAACTTGGAAAACAAGAAAAAAAAAATTCTGACTATTTGCAGTCTCACATTTTAAACTTGCTTAACTCGTAATTGATTTTTTTGGTTACTTCCTGCCTTGGACCAGTTACCCACTCTCATTGTATCCTACCTGACATGCAGTGGCAGACCTTGGAGTCTCAAATTTCCACGGCAGCCTGTGCGACACCAAACTTCAGCACCCCCACCTCTTCCCTTCCCTTCTACTTCATAGTTGTGGCACCCCCTGTGGCACCCCCGAGGCTCTGTGCCCAGTGCGACTGAACTCTCTGCGCTCCCCTAAATATGCCTCTGTGACATGGCTGCTGTGAAGAAAGAGGAGGAGGAATAAAATGGAGGCCAAAAGCCCTTGCATCCTAGGTATCACATTTTGGTGCTTTTAACCAGAACCATGCATCTTTGTAATATAAATTGCCACATATCCCTGCCCCTGTAAGTTATTACATCTCCAAGGCTTCAATCGATCTTAATCTGACCGCCCATTGTATGTTTTAGATGCATAAATCCAACTTGAGTTCAACTGAGCTTGCTCCCAGGTTAGTTTGCACAGGAAACCAATTCCTAAAAGGAGATACCTTAGGCCTGGTGCTGTTGGGGTGGGGGACTGTGGGAAACAGAATGAACTACTTCCATTTTAAAACATGTTTGCTTTCTTTTTATGATTTTACTGTTACATGTATAAGAGTGCTTTAAATGTATTGTGTAGATGTGACCTAGATCTGTTTGAAATAGCAAAATTGTGTTCATTTGGAAGCTAGCCTAATTTGTCATTATATGATAGGAAGCAGCCTTTGCTCTCTGCATAGTGAAAAGTTGTGCCTAACACAGGATATTTGATTATGAGCATGGGGTGCTCCATTTAAAAGGTATCATCATCTGACCTATTTCATGTCTTTTATTCTTCTGGGCTAGCAGCATGGCAACAAAAAACCAAGTCCAAACAAAGCGAAATGTTTCCAGAATGCTCATGTTTTGAGGCCACATTTTCTATCCGCACAAATGGCAACGGTTAAAAGGGTCTGGGAAATAAGCAAATTTACAAAGTATTTTCTGATCGGCTTTTGTACAGAGAAGGATCCCACTCTAGAATATATGATGGGATATATTTGTAAAATTTCTATCCCACTCAGGGAGGCTGATTCCTGGTGCTGAACTGGGTCTACATGTGCAAACCCAAATACCAGTTTTGAGAGTGGCCTGATTTAATCAAGACTTCCCCTCCAATGGATAATGTTTGTGTTATTGTTTGGGCAAATTCACAAGCGATTGCTTAAGTTTAGATAGAAATACCATTTGGAAAGGGCCATAGCTCAGCTGTAGAACATCTGCTTTGCATGCAGGAAGTCCCAGCTTCAATCTCTGTCATCTTCGGGTAGGGCTAGGAGAGATCGCTGCCTGAAATTCTGGAGAGCCTGTACGAGTCAGTGTCAACATTACTGAGACAGATGGACAAATGGCCTGGCCTGATATAAAGCAGCTATCTATTTGACCACATTGGAGAAGACTGTGATCAAGAGAACCTCGGTGTCTCCTCAGTCTGTTGCCCAGGTGCTAACGTTTGATGGCAACTTCGAGGTCCCACCTTGCTCTTCCTTTTCAGGGCCCTTTATCTTTTAACTTCCTTCCAACAGTCCTTCCAACAGGGACCAGGATACTCTCCTAATTTCTGAATTATGGCTCTTGTGTTGCATCAGCTCAGAGTGCTTCACAAACAGAAGCCCAACTTAATTCAAAGGAGCTTGCGCTAAGGTTTGTCCCCTACTCCCCAGAAAGCATCTGGATAGTGCATTACATTCAAATGAATTACCAAGATAACTAAACATAAACTGGTGCTCAATTACTTTGCTGGAACAGGCTTTAGATACCATTGCAATGAGCATAATAAAAATGTCCAGGCAAAGAGATACTTGAGACAAAATTGACTTCTGTTGTGCCATTTCCTTGTCTTCTTTAAATTTATTTTTCTAATAGCCAAGAGACTAGCTTCAGCTGCGGAGTTCCAAGCAAGTCTCTCCAAGCTACTACATTTTCCAGGTGCAGCAACTATTTGCTCAAAGAGTAAACAGAGGAGATGCAGGGTTGCTCACTGCTTCTCCCTCCCCATTTTTGCAGCATCAATGTGTAAAAAGTGCACAACTTTCAGCATGCAGGTAATCATGACATCTCTCTCTTCTTTGTTCAAGGTTTGGGAGCAATCCGGCACCATGACACTAGAGCTGAGGGGAAAGAATTATACTGACTTGGGTGAAATCCAGTGCTACTCAGTGTAGACTGGTTGAAATCAAACGGCACTGGTTTCAGTGGTCTACTCTGAAGATGATTAAAGTTGGATCTCATCGATTTTTCATAGACCATGTCTGAGATTTTTCTCAGAAGCAGAAAACCTCTGAGGAGTTTCTCCCCTAAATATTCTTCACCAATTCTTTTGAGGTAGAAGCCATTCCCCCCAGCCTCCATGATGCACCACAATGCTACTTAGTCTGGTATCTCGTGAAAGGTGGAAAGTGATGGGCAGGCTGCTAGCATAGCTCTTGCCACTTGCTGTGACAGCAACTGTGAAACCTACCCCAGAGAAAGTATGGTGTGGGGCGGGGGCAGGATGTAGCTGGATGGAAGAGCATCTGCTTTGTATGCAAAAGCTCCCAGGCTTGATCCCCAGAATCTCCAGCTACGACTGGGAATATCCCTGTCCTCAAATCCTGAAGAGCCACTGCCATTCAGTGTGGACAAGGCTGAGCTAAATGGACCACTGGTCTGCCTCGGTACAAGACAGCTTCTGATACTTCTTCCTAATTTCTCCTCCCCCTGGAGAAATTTGCTGACCCCCCCCCCCCGCATTTCGCTGCCCACAAATAAATAGGGTGAGGAACTCAGAGAGCCCATTTGCTCACGGTTCTCTACATGAAAACACCATTAAATAATAAAATACAGCTTTGTCTCAAGCTCTTGGCGACGTTGTCAGTCAGTGGCCACTAGGGACACTTTCACTGAGGCAGCACTTTGTTCCATTTACTTGCTTGATTTACTTGCTTGGGATAAGAATCAGTTTGGACATAATTGTACTAAGGCAGGAATAGCCAACAAACTCTTATCAGCCCTAATCAGCATGGCAAATGATTGGAACTGTAGTCCATAGAATGCGGAGGATCCTGGCTCGGTTACACCTGCTCTAAATACTCCCTGATGTCTGAATATGCCATATCTTCCATTTCTTCTGTATGTTATTGCCATTTATTTATGCATTTCCAATAACATCTTCCCTCATGTTTTTGTACATATTTCAGAATTCAGAGAAGTTGGTTATTTATTGTTTTGGGAAATGAGGTAGGTTAAAATGTGAACAGAAATTAAAATGTGAACAGAAACAAATTTCTCCCTAGGCCCAGATTTCTCCCTGAGCACATACACCGACCCTTACCAGGCTCTGTTTCTTCCTGTAGTGCCTTTTATTACATTTCTTTGTGATTTCTTCATTTGCATTTCTTCGTGATTTCGAAAGTTTTGGAGTCCTGCAGAAGGGCGCATCATATTGTCGTGTCAACAATAGCAGGGCATTAGCAAATATGTGGATTGCTCTGTTGTATGCAAAATATTGAAATGGCGCTCGTCTGTCATTCTTTGGGTCCCTGGTGCGGCGGAACAGTACAGCTGCGTGAAGCATTGGCTGCTTGGCAAATATATCCACATGTGGCAAAGAATTTACAACAATCATCATCTGCAGTAGCGTTGAAAGAAAACACAGGTCAGCACATCAGTGAATGAATGTCGAAGCATCAAGCCAGCTTGAATTAAATCCCACCAAAAGAGCTGCAATACTTAAACTTATCTCTGTGGCCTTAATCTCCACAGCAGAACAGTCACCATCCTTTTATTGACCTATATTTATTTTCTCCAACCCAGCAGGGAACAAATGCGTATTAATCCCTAGTTTCTCAAGGTACAGGATATACAAATAGCTGCTGCCTGCAGTTCTAAATAGTCATATCCAGCAGCCAGAGCAGAATGCATGTAGCTTCAACCATATAATAAAGAGCCCTGATGAATCAGAGCAAAGGACTATCTGGTGCAGCTTCCTGCTTTTCACAGTGGCTGTCCAATGCCTATGCCCACAAGGAGGACATGGGAGCAACAGGCCTCTTCTGCTATTCCCCAGTGACTAGGGATGCAAGGATGTGTCAGTCTTGGTTTTCTATGTTTCTCATTCCCCCAATCTTCAATTCACTTCTCCACATTTCTAAAGTAATTTGTGATCTGCTTTTTTTTTTTTTTAAATATTATAACCATGAAAATACTTCAGCATTTTAGTGCAAAATTCGCCTAAGAGACACACTTTTGAATGCAGTTTGTACACATCTTTACAAGCAATTTTTCACAGTGTAATGTATTTCTGTATGTATGTTATTTTTTACCAATATATTCATTTTTATGCACCTAATGTAAACATTTTTGTAAACACTGTTTGGTGGGAGAACTGCATTGCAAAATTCAGGTTAGTGAGCCTTTTGAAAGCTGCCTGCGTTTCAGTTCGCATATTGTTCCGGAATGTAAATTTAATAGATTCGCTTTTAAATGGAGGTTACTCTCCCCCCCAAAAAACTTGGTGTAGCCTGAACTGTACTGTGTTTCTATGTAAATATGTGAGGTGACTAGATGGGCCAATATCAGATGTAAAATATTCAGGCATTTAACCAATATATCTTGATGTTCTAAAATGCACATTTCCACTTTGAGTATTTCCAGCATTTTTCAGATCTTTTGATGCTTTTGCCAAAAATTGGAGGAATGGTAGTTTATCTGTAGTTTTGGACATAAGCAAAAAGCCCATTTGTCAAAAGATTATGAAATGAAACTTGCAACATCTCTCAACCATTATGCTGTTTAGTGATAGGGGTTATCTGTAGCTTGCATAGCCTAATATTATATTCCCAAAAAATGTCCATGGGAAAATTACAAAGATAAATCATTCTGATTCCCTTTCGCCCATTACTGGCAGACTTGGGGCTTTCGAATTTGGCACCTCCCGCCTCTCGCCTTCTGTTCCACTTCGTTGTTGTGGTGTCCCCTGAAACATTCTCTCTGCTTGATGCCCAGTGTGGGCGAACCAGTCATGCTCCCCTAAATCTGCCTCTGCACCTATGTACCATAGCTTTTCCCTTGTCATCATTGGGTTTACTGTGGAAGAACTAAAAGATGTACCATCTTTTTTGCTCTATAAGACTCACTTTTTCCCTCCTAAAAAGTAAGGGGAAATGTGTGGGCGTCTTATGGAGCGAATGCAGGCTGCGCGGCTATCACAGAAGCCAGAACAGCAAGAGGGATTGCTGCTTTCACTGCACAGTGATCCCTCTTGCTGTTCTGGCTTCTGAGATTCAGAATTTTGTTGTTGTTGTTTTCCTCCTCCAAAAACTAGGTGCATCTTGTGGTCTGGTGCGTCTTATAAAGCAAAAAATACGGTGTTCTGTATGTTAATTATATGACTAGTTTCTGCTTAGTTTGTGTAAGGATTCTATATTAATATGAGGTGGAGATGGAAGTATAGAAAGTCAAATTCAATTTTTATTAATGTCATGCTCTGCACAGAAACTTTCATAGAACTGACTGAATAGCTGATTTTTTTAAGTATTAGCTTTCTTTCTTATTACCTTATTCAAGAAAGATATTAATAAAGATGGGTGGGTGTAAAGGGTTGCTGAGTGACTCAGTATGATAGATCTGGTTCAGCATTCCTATGCCCCTTTCTCACAGATGTTGATATATTACAGAAATGTAATGTATTTCAGAAAAATGAAGGAAAGATGATTCAAATTTCTTAGTTTGGACAGTAGCCGAGTTCTGTAAGGGCATGCTTCTGCAAAGATTCAGCTAATTAAAGTCACATTGATTTCTATGTGAGAGTTAAGCACATGTTCAATTCTCTCTCACCAAAGAACCACTGGGATGTTTAATGGCTGGGCTCTGCCCACTACTCCTTGAATGTGGGCATGATGAAAAATGAAACAAAGCCCTTCTTCTGATTTCTTTAAGTTGAAATGTTTTTAAAATCCAGATATGATTACATACTTTAAACCTTGCGAAATGGAGTAAATTAAATCTGTTTTTATATATCCGAGTTGTAAAGATTCTGCAAGTATTTTGTAGGTCTGCATTCTCAGAAATGTTTTGAAAGGCTTTTACATAATCCTACCTAGCACTGCGATGTGGATAGTGGATCAAAGGTGTAGACTTGTTATACACCCATGAATTTCATCCTCCCTAGGGATTAGCTTCCCAGAGATGTTCTGAAAGTTAATGGACAGTTTCTTCTAAAATAAATACAGTGCTGGCAGTGATGTTCAATAGGGACCTGGAAATAAAATACAGAGATTATGCAACCACATTTAAAAGAAGCAATCTATTTGAAGTGCAAAGTGTACTCTTCAAGTTAAACGGTTTCCCCTTCTTATATTTACCTACTTTACATGCTATGAAACAAATTTTATTTCCAAACAAATTGCAGCATATATATTTTCTGTACAAATCCACCCCTCTGGTCTTTGAACTTCCACCAAATGCTATTCCATCTTACAGGTCAGTCATCCATGTTGTTTTCTATTTATTCACACATAAAAATGGCATCTTGAGGGGGAAAATCAGCCTTGGGTGATGCTATCTGGTTTACGAGCATTTATTCTGTGATATGTTTCCCAAATGATGCTATAAAAATAGTATGACGGTCCATCAGGGATATGTATAGTTTAAGATAGACTTTCTCTTTCTTTCTTTCTTTCTTTCTTTCTTTCTTTCTTTCTTTCTTTCTTTCTGCCTCTGTTTGTCTTCTAACTTACTTTTAAAAGACACTACACTACACCCCCCCCATATGTCCATAGTCAATTACTACAATAATGACAAGAAATCAGAAGTACAAGTCTCCACACAAACCCAATTCCCGATACCATAGAAAAACACATCAAGGTATTATCTCATCCCAACCTCCCTCAGGGTTGTTGTGAGAATAAAATGAGGAGGGGGGGTTACCATTTACTCCCCTTTGAGCTCCTTGGGAAAAGGTGGGATATAAATGTATCCAAAAATAAATGAGGGAGGCAGTGGGGACAAGCACGTTTGCTCTGCCCCACCCCACCACTGGACACCTAGTGTTAGAGATGGTAGTTGCCAGTCACAACAGTTTTGCAGCATCAAAAAAGAAAGAAAGAAAAGCTAATGTGATTTTAGAATGTATCAACTGAAGCATAGTGTCCAGATCAAGGGAGGTAACAGTACCACTTAATTTAAGAGGGATATTGACAAGCTGGAATGTGTGCAGGGGAGGGCAACCAAGATGATCATGGGTCTGGAAACTGAACCTTATGAGGAACGGTTGAGTTAGCCTGGGAAAGAGGAGACTGAGTGGAGATATGGCAACTATCTTCAAATATCTCAAGGGCTGTCACGTGGAAGATGGAGTAAGCTTGTTTTCTCCTGCTACAGAGGATAGGACTCAAACCAATGGCCAAGTTCAAAGAAGGGAGATTCTGACTAAACATCAGGAAGAACTTCCTGACAGTAAGAGCTGTTTGACAGTGGACCAAACTCCCTTGGGAGGTTGTGGACATTTAAGCAGAGGTTGGATAGCCATTTGTCATGGATGCTTTAGTTGAGATTCCTGCACTGCAGCAGCTTGGACTGGATGACCCTCAGGGTCCCTTCCAACTCTATGATTCCTATCTATATGTCCATATCTATATGTAAAGGTAAAGAACCCTTGGATAGTTAAGTCCAGTCAAGTTTGACTATGGGATGCGATGCTCATCTTGCTTTAGGCTGAGGGAGCTGCCGTTTGTTCGCCGACAGCTTTCCAGGTCATGCGGCCAGTATGACTAAACCGCTTCTGGTGGAACAGGACACTGTGACGAGTGCCAAAGTGCATGGAAATGCCGTTTACCTTCCAATACACATTTGAGGTTGTTCTACTTGTCTTTAAAGTTTATTTTTGTAAGTCACCTTCAATTTCATTTTTTTTAAAAAAGTGAATAGCTCATTCAGTAGAACATAAGACTCTAAATCTTGGTTGTGGATTCAAGCCCTACATTGGGCAAAATATTTCTGTACTGCAGGAAGTTGAACTAAATGACCCTCGTGGTCCCTTCTAATTCTACAATTCCATGATTCTATGTATTACTACTACAACTACTACTACTACTGATGATGATGATGATATTTTTATGTGTGAAATCACTCTGGCAGGCTTCAAGGGAAGTGATTCATAAACAAAACAAATAAGAATAGTATGTGATTAAACACAATCTGGCTTCCATTCCTTGGGCACTAGTATGACAGAATGCTTAGAACCAGCTTAATAGGTAGGCAGGCAAGCAGGCAGGCAGGCAGGAAGATAGATATATTCGTGGTCCACTCAGATGTGACTTTATGGGTAACAAAATAGTTGCATTTTAAGTAGCAGTTGACATGGATTTGCCCTTAGCATTTTATAACATCAATAAAAAGGAAAGGATTAACACACATTACCTTGCAGCCATCTACTAATGTTTATATGCCAGTTGTTCAATACTAATGGGGCTAATCCCGTTTCCCTGTAAATCAACAGGATTTGGGCCTGTTCCATTAATGCAAAGTGCTCTTTACTACTGTCTCTCCTTTCCCCCCCTTTTTTTTTACACCCCTCATAATTCTGAGGGGCATTTTGCTTCTTAATTGCCTAATTATGGCAATGCA